ACTTAGAAATCAGAACATTCTCTTTGCACAATTGATTGTGTGCAAGCAATAAGACAAAGGGAAGAACTCTAAGTACATGTAGAAACACTCAGATATGTTCGTCTCTTGTGCCAACAGGTAACAAGCAAATAATTGTCTCAATCTCCTTTCAGCATCATCCACCGAAGCCCCTCCCTTCATGTTGTTTACACCTTTTGATCGGCTGAAATGTTCCCCAGGCTCAATTTGGAGATGAAATACGACACATCAGATTCACATCTAGAGGTAGCTACAAACCTGCAACAACTATGAGCTGTAAAAGTAAGATGGGATCATGAAGTGACCGTGACACAGAGCTCGGCCAAATACAGTCTAAATCTCTTAAGATTATTGCTATGAATTAAGCTGCATCCCCCTTTGAGTATGTGATCCTGGCAAAATGAGGTTAGGTACAATGTGAAAGCTGAACAGCAAAACACCTGCAAGACAACATAAAACTAACCAGAATGTGTCCCACTCACCAAGCACTAGCGTGACAATACCACTTTTAAAAATTGACACCATCGCAACAAAATTGACAGTCATAAGCTCATTACAATATCACAGCTACGCTGACTGGAAAGAGTCCTTTGTTAACCAGTCAACTGGGACATAAATCTAGTCAGAAGTGATGCAGCAAAGTGCAGAGTTCTCTTATTAATTGAAGGGCACGGTCTGCTGGTGGACGACGTGCCCCTTCAAATTCAGGGCAACGCGTTATATTGATCTAAGTTTATTGTGCTACCTCTGACAATATAAATGTGCAACATGAGAATCTCAGTCAGTGCAGAAACCATTTCCTGATTTTTTGCACTGACTGGAAGCCATGCCAATTAGCAGGTCTTAATATAAGAGAACATTTTGATCTTTGCAGTGAAACAACCATATGGTAGAAGTCAGCCTACTTAACGTTGGCTCCTTGATCTGAGCAGGGGGCATGAAGCATATGCACCAGCAGATACTGCTCTAGAAACAAGCGTGCAAGCTCCACCTACTTGTCGTGGCGCTACATTTGCTCATGTATAAACGGTGAGAAGCCCAAACAGCCATTTTCCAAACCAGAGAAAAATGCAGGGAAAGCACTTTGACAGGCTACCGATCCTTGAAAAGAGTTTGCACATACAAATTTACATACAAGGAAACCATGTTCTTTTAATTAGAAGGACGGGTTATGTGGGACATACGGCCAAGCAGGAAGTAGTAATCCTGAGAGCATTTGCACCATGTGGTATGCATCCTAATTAACCAGCTATCACTTCTCCCATGTGCTATAATTGTGATGCTCCGGGTGCTCCAGTCAACTGATAAGCCAAAGCCCATAATCCGTGAAGTGACTTAGAGAGGAAAGAGAGGGTGAAATTTGTATCATTTACCATTTAGAGATCAATCTTTAGTTGATTAGACTTCATACTTTTACTTAGTATCTCATATCCATTATTTGCGTGCAACAATACACGGATAATAACAGTGTGAACTGAAATATAATAAGCATCTGTCATTTTGACTGCTGTTATTATATCAGCCATTTTAACATCTTTTTACCATAAAGCCCACAGTGCACCGCACTACATGCAATAGAACAATCAACCTTTTCTTCTGTAGCAACTAAGGAAAGATAGTCAAACTCAGTGTCAGGACTTAATGAATGTCACAGCAGTATATCTTTATTGTAAAGAATACAAAGGGAACATTTTATTGTGGTGAAGAAGTTGCTGGAGAAGCAAAGTGCTGCATTACAGAAACACTTCAGGGGACTGCATCTTCAGCAGCGGTTCAAAGATAAAGCCTGCTGTTTTGTTCCAAAGACAAAGTGTAGCAGAAACTGGAGAGCCATAATCTACAAAGACGGCTTACTTCAGTTTGAAATAAGCAAACTCTTCTGAACTGAGAGCAATCAAAGGACATTTTCACACCATGCTTGAACATTCATTTTAGTTTTCGTCTGGTTTACAAGATTTCTGAGAACCAAAAGTTCAACTTTAATGACATTATTTTCCTTCGGAAGGGTTGATCAGTGGAACCTTTTACCAATTGCAGAGAATTGTTATTCACCCAAATTCATAAGTTATAAATGCACAATTTCAAATCAGTTGAACTAAAAATAATGTGGCACATTTGGATTTAGAAGGAAAAAAAATAACAAATGACATTACAAACGATTCACAGGTTCTCTGAAATAACTTCTTGCTGGTATTATGTTTACCATTATGGCTCTCTTTAAAATAACTTTGTGGCATTGGACAGCCTAATAGTTATGTAAGCATTGCATTTGTTTCAGGAAATATTTCTAAGATTTGTTTTAATTTGGGAAACTTTACATTAGTGGACAGAAAGAAAATCATGTTGTTAGAGCTGTTTAACGTGTTATTTTTTTTTTTTTCAGATAAATGCATCATTGAAAGGTTCATTGATTTTATTCAACAATTTCAAAACGTGAAACAAGTAACTATTATTTCTTACACACAGTAAGTTTCAAGTATATGCAATAAATCTATTAATACATATTTTATATCACAATTGTACAATATC